AAAAATATATTATTTTAACAATAAGTAAAAGAAAGCAGGAGTAGCTATATTAATTTCAAAGTAGACTTCAGAGCAGAGAAATATATCCAAGATAAAGAAAGTCTGGAGCTCCGGGCTGGCTCAATCGGTTGGGTGTCAGACTTTGGCTCAGGTCATGATCTTACGGTTCATTAGTTCAAGCCCTGCGTCAGATTCTGTGCTGACAGCTCAGAGCCTGGAGCCTGCTTCGAATTCTGTGTCTCCCTCTCTTTCTGCCCCTCCCCTCCTCATGTTCTGTCTCTGTCTCCCTTCCTCAAAAATAAATAAGCAATAATTTTTTTTTAAATAGAAGGTGATTAACATAAAGGTAAACAGGCCATTGCTCCAAGAAGACTTAATAATCCTTAATGTGGTATTCACCAGCAACAGAGTGTCAGAATACATGAGGTGAAATAACCAATAGAATTGCAAGAAGAAACACATGAATTCAGTTGGAGACTCCAACATCTATCAGAAATGGACACATCCAGCAGACAGAAAATCAGTAAGGACAGAGTTGAATTCCATACCTTCAATCAACTGATTATAATCGACATTTACTGAGTACTTTATCCAACAGTGGCACAATAAACATTCTTGTCAAGTTCACGTGGAGTATTTGCCAAGATAGACCCCAGCCTGGGCCACAAAACACACTGTGTAAAAGAATAGAAATCTTTTAAATGTGTGTCTGCTCTCAGGCCACAGTGGAATTAAGCCAAGAATCAGCAACAGAAAGACACCTAGAATATCCAGATATTTGGGGCGTCTGGGTGGCTCAGTTGGTTAGGTGTCCGACTCTGGCTCAGGTCATGATCTCATGGTTCGTGGGTTCGAGCCCCACGTCGGGCTCTATGCTGACAGCTCAGAGCCTGGAGCCTGCTTCTCATTCTGTGTGTATGCCTCTCTCTCTCTCTGACCCTCCCCTGCTCACGCTCTCTCCTTCTCTCTCAGAAATAAATAAAACATTTAAAAATTTTTTTAAAAAGAAAATCCAGATAATTGGTCATACACAACTAACTTCTAAATAACACCTGGATCAAAAAAGGAGTCTCAAGAGAAATATTAAAACACTATTTATTTATTAAAATGAAAACACAACTTATCAGAAGCTGTGGGATGCAGCAAAAGCAGTGCCTGGAGGGGTACTTATGGCATTGAATGCATATATTAGAAAATAAGAAAGTACTAAAATCTGTCTAAACTTACATCTAAGGAACCTATAAAGAGAAGAGCAAATTAAATCCAAAGTAAGCAGAAGGAAAAAAAATTAATAAAAATTTGAGGAGAAATCAATTAATTTGAAAGTGGGAAATTAATAGAGAAAGTCAAAGAAACCAGGAGTAAGTTCTTTGAAAGAAAATCAATACAGCTAGCCAGCCTGGAGAAAAGAGAAAAGACACAAATTAGTAATATCACGGAATGGGGGACATCACTCCAGACCCCACAGACATTAAAAAGATAACAAAGGTATACAGTGAACTGTTCCGTGCCTACAAATTTGAAAATCCACATGAAATGACAGTGTGGTATGATGACTAGATCAATAAACAGAATTGAGAACCCAGAAATAAACCCACATACATATAGCGACCTGATCTTTGACAAAGAGTAAACACAGGACAATCAAGAAAAGATTGCCTGTTCAGTAAATGGTGGTAGAACAATTGGGTATCCACGTGCAAGAATATATAACCATATGGTATTTATCTTTCTTCAAATGACTTATTTCACTTAGAATTAATACTTTCTAGTTCCATCCAGGTGACTGCAAATAGCAAGATCTCATTCTTTTTGATGGCTGGGTAATATTCCATTATGTATATATTCCACATCTTTTTTATCCATTCACTTATCAGTAGACTTCCAGGTAGCTTCCATATCTTGGTGATTGTAAATAATGCTGCAACCACATAGGAGTGCACATATCTTTGATTATTTTTTTTTTGAGAGAGACAGAAAGAGAGAGAAAGGGACAGAGCATGAGTTGGGGAAGGAAAAGAGAGAGGAGACACAAAATCTGAAGCAGCCTCCAGGCTCTGAGCCATCAGCGCAGAGCCCGACATGAGTCTGGAACTCACAGACCACAAGATCATGACCTGAGCTGAAGTTGGACGTTTAACCAGCTGAGCCACCCAAGCTCCCCTGCACGTATCTTTTCAAATTAGTGTTTTTGTTTTTTTGGGTAAATACCCAGTAGCAGAATTAGTGGGTGATAGGGTAGTTCTATTTTTATTTTTTTGAGGAATCTCTATACTATTTTCCACAGTGGCTGCACCAATTTTGCATTCCCACCAATAGAGCTCGAGGGTTCTCATTTCTCTACATCACCACCAACATTTGTTATTTCTTCTCTTTGATTTTAGCCATTCTGAGAGGTGTGAGGTGGTATCTCATTGTGGTTTTGATAGATGTTTCCCTGATGATGGTTGCTGCTGAGGATCTTTTCGTGTGTCTGTTGTCTTCATTAGAAAAGTATCTATTCAGGTCCTCTGCCTAACTGTAATTGAGGCTATTAAAGCTCAAAACAATGAAATAACTTATTCCAAGATCACATAACTATCAAGTAGTTGGTAAATCTGAATCCAGATTTTTCTAGAGAGGAGACATGTGAATACCTATACCTATGAGTATGGATTTTCTGGGCAATTGTGCAAAGCACACAGACAGAGATTAGGGCAAATTAGAAGGATATCGTGTCCTTAAACTCTGCAAAGGAGACAAATGGAAAGAAAACATGCCAAAAAGAGCTAGAATGTAAGATTCATGGGTGTCTCCTGTGCCAAGTGGGGCAAGCATTGACAAAGTGAGTGCCACCCAGAGTGGCACTGCCACTGCCATTATACTCTCTGGCTCTGACCTCACAGAGCTGAGGAAGTCAGCCCATGCCAATGAGCTTAGAAGGCAGCCCGAGTGGGTTTTGGGGGAATGCAAGGAGACAGAGGACCTCATGTTGGCCTACTGGATGGGCAAGGGTATATATTTAAAATATTGCAATTTGAGGCACCTGAGTGGCTCAGTTGGTTAAGCATTTGGCTCTTGAGGTCACAGTTTGTGAGATCAAGCCCTGCATCGGGCTCTGCACTGACAGTGCAAAGCCTGCTTGTGATTCTCTCTCTCCCCCCGTCCCTCCCCCCTTCCTCATGCTCTATCTCACTCTCTTTCTCTCAAAATAAGTAAATACACTTTAAGGACTGGAGCTGCCAACACGGATTCATACCCAGATGGATGATTGCTAACGTTTCAAGGTCTCCAAGGGAGAAAAGATGAAATCAAAGGATGAATCCTAGGGCTGTGTCTGGGTGGGGAGAGTGGGGGCAAGATGAAAGCAGAGTCCCTGGAGGGAGAAGGGGCTGTGTGCACTGGGACATGGGTTCAAGTGTGTGATAGGCGCTGGTACACTTTGCCGCATGGCTGATGGGAAAAACAGTAGCCATAAAAGCATGAGTTTTTCTCCCTAGAATTATTGTTGGGTTTTTTTTTACAACTTTCTTTTTTTTTTTTTAAGTTTATTTATTTTGAGAGAGAGAGAGGAGGAGGAGGGGCAGAGAGAGAGGAAGAGAGAGAATCCCAAGCAGGCTCTACACCATCACCCAGGAGCCCAAAATGGGGCTCGAACTCACGAACCATAAGGTCATGGCCTAAGCCAAAGTCAAGAGCAAAACACTTAACCGACTGAGGCACCCAGAAGCCCCTCACGTTACTCTGTTTTTTATCCTGGAGCTTGTTTGGATCAGTTTGTTTTGAAAAATGGTGTAGGTGAATGAATGTTTTTCATCTCTCTCTTTTTTTTAATGTTTTATTTATTTCTGAGAGAGAGAGAGAGAGAGAGAGAGAGAGAGCGAGCGAGCAGGGGAGGGGCAGAGAAAGAGGGAGAAACAGAATCTGAAGCAAGCTCCAGGCTGTCAATACAAAGCCCGACATGGGGCTCAAACCCACAAACCATGAGATCATGACTTGAGCCGAAGTCGGACGCTTAACTGACTGAGCCACCCAGGTGCCCCGTCTTTCATCTCTTTTACGACTTCATACATCACAGTTCAGCCCATTTTGGTAGCGAGCACATTCTCAAAGACTGGAAGCAAAGGAAGGGAGAATGAGAATGCGACTTGCTGCTCGAGTTCAACGCTGGCCCTTATTTAGGCCACGGTAATTCCTGACATTTCCGCTTGGGAGGGAGGTCTGGAGTCAGATCAGCTGTTTGTATCGGGATCAGCTGTGTGAACCATAACATAAAAACGGTTCGTATCAACTCATGTTGGATATCATTTCTTCAAGGGTAATATCATTTCTTTATTACCCTTGACCTTGCATAGAGTAAGATGCCGATGGCTGAGTGAAGCTGATTGAGATTTGTAGGGATCTTTGGCACCCGTGGAAGCCTGCAGAAGACGCACAGACTGGTAAATGCTAAGATGGTGCTTTTCAAAAGCGTGGGCTCCCAGACCACCATGAGTGGCAACAGCACCTGGGAACTAGTTATCACACCAGAGTCTCTGGTCCCATCCCACGCTTAGGGAGTCAGATGCTCTGGGGGTGGGACCAGCAACCAGTGTCGCAGGAGCCCCTCAGGTCAGATGGTGACATCTGGAAACCTGTCGTTTGCTTATTTAAGCTCTCTCCTGTAAAGGTGCCTTGAAGAATAAGATGGGTTCTTTGGAGTTACATTTCATTAACTTCTTTCTAGGATTACTTAGAATTAATCAAATCAAATAGTTGCAGATGTGACTTATGTAGAAGGCCCCCAAATGGAACCGTTCGTGAAAATCACAGTATTGGCCACTCATAAAAAATGTAAATAACGCCAGTTTCATTTCAGGAAAAAAAAAAACAGTGGGGGTACTTCATATTCTGTAGACTATACCTTTCCACTGTCATTTATAAGAGAGTGAATAAAACAGATACCATAAAGCTGACTGCCGAATTAAATGCGTTATACATTTATGCACACTCCTGGTAAAACACATTTTTCTGTGTTCCAGGTCCCAACTGCTTTGCAGAAACTGCTGTCATCCCAGCTGGAAGAGAAGTCAAGACGGACGAATGTACCATATGTCACTGTACTTATGAGGAAGGAACGTGGAGGATCGAACGACAGGCCATGTGCACGAGGCATGAATGCCGGCAAATGTAGGCACAGGACCATAAAAAAACAGACATTTTTCTAGAATATTTTACTGATGGAAACATTCTAGATGACTCTGGGGAATGTCCTCCAAAAGGAGAAGACTTTTGATGAGGAGTATGGAAAGTTGTGCATACCTTTCACGTTTCTCGGTAACCATTTCCTGCAAAAGAAGGAAATTGGTCTATTTCCAAACGTCCACAAGAACTTTGGGCACAAAATCCCCCTCTCTAAATAAATGTGCTATTTTCACAGTAAGTACACTGAAGTACACTATTATATATTAAATGTATTTCTATAATCCCTCTATTAGAGAGCTTATATAAATGTTTTCTATAGATACAGATTAAAAACGCTGTGTTGTCAACTGCCTTCACTGCATACCTGCATATCTTCTTCGTTTCTGATTTCATCACACGAGATTGTTTGTGCTTGCTGATTCTCCCTCCCATCTCAGAACACTGCACCTGTCGATGGACTGTAAGATGATGAAATACCGAAGTCCTGCCCCCATTCTGTTTCATCACAGAGATCGATCTAGTGTCCTTAGGAGACCCAGTCTACTTCACATAAATACATTTCCTTCTTCTGATGACTTACTGTTTTGATCCCCTCCGTTCTCAGTCATTGATTAATCATTATACCAACATAACAGGCACGCCCTTTTCCTATACTTTTGACGCCTCCATGTTGGGAGCCATAGATGGACACACACATACGGTTCATCCTCCATTCCATTACTTTCTCTCCTGAGCGTGCCTTTCAGTCATCTTGTAACTTAAGCAACAGGGTAAGATGGACAACTTGCATTATTGTTCTGTAAAGCTGAAGCGTGCAGGGAGGGAGGTTTCTTGATTGTCTGTCTGGAGCAGAGCTGGAGAAAAACAGATCCCAGACAGGTCTACACCTGGTGCAGATCCAAAGTCTCCACTAGATGGACACACGTTTCTTACTGGACCAATCACCTACCCTCCATAAAAGACAGAGTAAAATCAGAAGATAGCCCTGTATTTCGAGAGTAGAGTAAAGGGCTTCCCATCCAGGATGTCAAAACAAGCAGTGCTGAACGCTACGTCCACTCTGTGACTTTTGTGTAGTTAACGTGTAATTCTAAACCGATTTGATTTGTCTTCATTTGCACACAGAATAAAAGAAGCCACCACTTAAGGAGTAGTACCTATTAAAGAATATTTCCGCTGTTACCGCTGATGCTTGGCACACTGGTGGAAAAGGTTGTCAGTCTGAATCAGTGTAAAGTGAAAAAGAAAAATTATAATCACGATTTGAAATCTTGGAAGTTTTTCCCCAGACTTTTATTTACCCCAAAAGTTTGAATTGAGCATCTATTAATAGTGCACATCATTTGATGACAAAAAAAGGGAATAAGGCATGAATTCTTGCCTTCCTGGCCTTTCGGCCTTTGGCATGACATGAGTAAGAAATTTTAGTGCGTTGTGGCAGGAGCTCAGTTAGCGGTCAGCAGAAGGAGGTTGGAAAGCTTTCCTTAAAAGAGCAGAGAATACCAAAATATCATCCACTATCTTAAGAAATCATTCAATCATGAAAGGTTGTGTAATCAAGAAAAATTGATAAATTTGTCATTAGTGAAAACGTGAGCCACTGTGCACCTTAATAAATGCAAAGCCAGCACTAATTGAAGCCTCAAGAACTTTCCATATGCTTACTCGTAATTTTAATCTTGTCTATCAAGATCTCGGGCCATATGGGCTCCACACACATAGATTTTCAAGAAAATACTCAGGGGGAGTATTAGCTAGTTGCTTTCCAAAACTTAACCTTTGGCACTAAAGGCTGCTAGGCATTGGCCATCATCATTCTATTATCCAAAGGTAGATTTTTTTTTTTTTTTTTTGAGACCAGGTCATATAAGTGATGGTTTTGCCAACAATGGGCTCTGGTCCCCATGAGGAGGTGGGTCATTAGCTATCTCTAGCACTACACAAAGCCGCCTCTTCTCTCCCCATCAGGCATGCCGCCATTAGAGACTCTATGGATGAGGCCCAGAGCCTCCCTGCCTCCCTTGGTGACGTAGCCCCTACCTGGATGGGTGGTGAACTTGGAAGTGATTGCAGTGGCGCCTCAAGCACTGTGACTGTTCAGGAAACCTGGTACTTCGTTGCAAACAGAAAGAGTGAATGGGAGACCCTCTTGGGAAACTGACGTTCACTTGCTCTAAAGGTGTGTGACTCACCCTTGTCCCAGGTCCAGTCAGGAGAGCTGAAGGGCAGTGGCTGTTGTTACACCAAGTAACTTTCTCTCTGGTTCCAACCCCGTGGCCCTCTTTCCACGTAACACAAATACATAAACACAACATGGCAGACCTGGGTTAATGACACTGGGTATCCTTAATGTAGAATGATATTTTTTTGCGTTTTTGTCTAAGAGAAGCTTTTATGCTTAGGTTATTTCTTGCCATTAGCATAGACTTCCACATCTATAAAGCTATAGCAGGTCGACATTTTATTTTCCTCTTCCTTTTTACCATAGAACATTTTACAGAGATTTTAACAATGAAACTATTCAATGAGTTTAACAACCTTAGTAAGTGCATTATAAAAAGAGGGAAATACAAGTCCAAGTTATCTGATTGCAAAACATTCTGGTTTGGACATAGTCTGGAAAAAGGAGCCTCAAAGCTCAAGTACAGACGTTTTTGGAGAGCTATCATTCTTAGTAATCCCATCAGCCTGGTCCATGAGTTCCCTTGATTGTTGTTAGGTGACTTATTCATGATGAAAGCGGAAATCGCGCTTACAAATGTATTACATGAATTTATTTCAAATTACTCAACCTACACATCCAAAAAAGGGAAACGACGTATGTAAGCAACAGGATGATTCTGAAAGTGACCTAATCTGACCTTCTTTTGAGGTTCATTCTTTCAGTCACAGGATCTTCCCTGTGTCGTTGATGGATCGGTCAGTACTTCTACATTTCATAGAGGCCTTGGGTAATTTCAAAACCTTGCATTTTATTCTTGCATGCAGCATGCATTAGATGCATCTGGACCATGTACCAGGCAGGGCCAGAGGCTAGGGCAGGTGCCGAGGTGAGAGCATCCTTGACCTTGGAACTTATATGCTTTGAAATGATCTTACATGTCAGTATTTTTCTCTCAACTTTTTGATACTTTATATTTCTTCATCTCCTTTGTGTGGTCAAGCATGTTTAAGAGATGAATTCTTACACATTTAAAAATTTATAGTCATTAATATGCTTAAGAAAATCTCCTTTTGGGGCGCCTGGGTGGCTCACTTGGTTAAGTGTCCTATTCTTCTTGACTTCGGTTCAGGTCATGATCTCACGGTTCGTGAGTCTCTCATTGGGATTCTGTCTCCCTCTCTCTCTACCCCTCCCCTGCTTGCTCTCTCTCTCTCACCCAAAATAAATTAAAAATAAACCTAAATAAATAAATAGATAAATAAATAGAAACTCTCTGTTCCCTCAATACAAACATTATATATATATATATATATAATATATATATATATATATAATGTTTTAAAAATCCAAAAACTTCAGAGAATTCAGGTATTTTCATATTTTGGTTTTTGTTTTGATTTTAAGTAGTGAAATATGTTTGATGTATCCATTATTTGGAATGTCCCCAATACACACAACAACCAAGACTTGTTGAAAACTACATCTGTTATTTGAAAATATAGTTTAAATATATAGAAAACAGAGTTAAAGACACAAGCCATTTTTAAAATTTATTGTCAAGTTTGTAACATGCAGTATACTCTTGGTTTCAGGAGTAGATTAATGTGATTCATCACTTACATACAACACCCAGTGTTCATCCCAAGTGCCCTCCTCAATGCCTATCAACCACCTCTCCCACCTCCCATCCTCCACACCCATCAACTCTCAGTTTTTTCTCTGTATTTACGTGTCTCTTATGGTTTGCCTCCCTCTCTGCTTGTAACTCATTTTTCCTTCCCTTCCCATGTTCATCTGTTGAGTTTCTCAAATTCCACATAGGAGTGAAATCTTACAATATCTGTCTTTCTCTGACTATTTCAATTAGTATAATAACACTCCAGTTCTATCCACATTGTTATAAATGGGAAGATTTCTGTTTTTTTCATTGCTGAGTAGTATTCCATTGTGTGTGTGTGTGTGTGCGTGTAAACGTTGGGGTACGTGTGCCCCTATGAATGAGTACTCCTGTATCCTTCGGATCAATTCCCAGTACTGCTATTGCTGGGTTGTAGGGTATTTCTATTTTTAATTTTTTGAGGGACCTCCACACTGTTTTCTAGAGTGGCTGCACCAGTTTACATTCCCACCAACAGTGCAAGAGGGTTCCCATTTCTCCACATCCTCTCCAACATCTGTTGTTTCCTGGGTTGTTAATTTTAGCCACTCTAACTGGCTTGATGTGGTATCTCAAAGTGATTTTGATTTATATCTCCCTGATGATGAGCGATGTTGAGAATATTTTCATGTCTGTTGGCCATCTGGATGTCTTCTTTGGAAAAGTGTCTATTCATGTCTTCTGCCCATTTCTTCACTGGATTCTTTGTTTTTTGAGTGTTGAGTTTGGTAAGTTCTTTATAGATTTTGGTACTACTTCATCCTCTACGTCATTTGCAAACACCTTCTCCCATTCCATAGGCTGCCTTTTATTTTTGTTGATCATTTCCTTGGCAGCATAGAAGCTTTTTATCTTGATGAGGTCCCAACAGTTCATTTTTGCTTTTATTTTCTTTGCCTTCAGAGATGTGTCAAGTAAGAAGTTGCTGTGGCTGAGGTCAAAGAGGTCATTGCCTGCTTTCTCCTGTAGGATTTTGATGGTTTCCCGTCTCATTAGGTCTTTATCTATTTTGAATTTGTTTTTGTGTGTAGTGTAAGAAATTGATCCAGTTTCATTCTTCTGCCTGTTGCTGTCCAATTCTCCCAGAACCATTTGCTAAAGAGACTGTCTTTTTTCCATTGCATACTTTTTCCTGTCTTGTCGAAGATTTGTTGGCCATATACTTGTGGGTTTATTTCTCAGTTCTCTCTACTATTCCAGTGGTCTATGTGTCTGTTTTTGGGCCAATACCATGCTGCCTTGATGATGACTGCTTTGTAATACAGGCTAATAGTCTGGGATTGTGATGCCTCCAGCTTTGGTTTTTATTTTGCAACATGACTTTGGCTATTCAGGGTCTTTTGTGGTTCCATACAAATTTTAGGATTGTTTGTTCTAGCTCTGTGAAGAATGCTATTTTGATTGGGATTGCACTGAATATGTAGTTTGCTTTGGGTAGTATCAACATTTTAACAACCAATCCATGAGCATGGAATGGTTCTCCATTTCCTTGTGTCTTCTACAGCTTTCTGTAGTTTTCAGCATACAGATCTCTTACCCTCCAGTTAG